TACAACCCAGCAAATATCCTCCAAAGACGTCCCGGAGACAAATGCTTCCTGACCTCAACCACAGCTCAAACCAACTCGTCATCCGACGCCAGGTAAGGTAGACCGCGAAGCTTGGTGGTGCTAAAGAGCCGAAGAAATGGAGGATGAAAAAATGCTGGAAACATCCGCAAGTTGTTTTACTTGATTCGTTTGACTGGGCTTCTGAAGCGAGGTGGTGAGGCGGCTCAGTGGTTATAGCGCCAATTTACTGACCGGAAAGTCCGTGGTTCGAACCCGACCTCTGCCTCTCGACTTCTGTCTAGGCTTGGGCAACTTGGCAGTATCCTAGCCCTAGTGCTTTCCTTGGGTGGTATGGCAGCTAGGTACCGAAAGGGTGTTACAGCTGAACGATCATCTTTTTATCCTCAGAAACCTCTTGTCAGCGAAATTATCAGGGACCAGAATGGCGCTCTGATCTCCAGCACAGCGGAGCGTTTGGATCGCTGGGCACAATACTTCGAATAACAATTCAGGTGGCCACCTGCTACCTCTGTTCCGAGTTGCCGGTCTTCAACAGAAAGGTGTACTGTGAACATAGAACCCCCTCAATCTCACAAGTGTCCGAGTGTATATCTCTAACCCAGCATCATACTATTCCTGGTTCTGATAACCTCTTATAAGCTCTCTTCAAGGATAGGGACGAGTCCTCCAGCTATTTTCGTCTAGCCTGTTTGTGTCAGTTTGAGAGAGACTGTTCCAGACAATTGGAGTGAGACGATAATAGTGTCCATTTTCAAAAAGGGCACTCGCGGATAATCTAGTAACCACGGTGGTGTTAGTTTGACTCCTGCTACGACAAGGCTTTTGTCCTCACTGATTCTTCGTCGTCTTACGGAGGAGTGCGAATTCTCAACCCGTGGGCATCAAGAGAGAGTTTGACCGAATAGGGGATACGTTGACCACATTTTCACATCCGCCCTAGGTACAGACGACCCACAATCTTCGTATTTACTGACTTTTCGGGCGCGCTCGATTCCGTCGCTAGATCAGTGCTGTTAACCACACCTGCTTGGTATGCCGCAGAAGTTTGTGAGCATAATCCCATCCCTATATTCACATACTTCTTGGCGTGGGAGTACATTGTGTTATATCCTGTTTGTTGATGTATCATCATCATCATCGACAGCATGCCAGCAGTGTTCAACACCGATGCTTCACTGCCGTACGTTAATGTATCAGTCAGACTGGTTACTCACCGGAATGGAGAAGACATCTTCGAGGAAGTTACACTATAAGCAAGTGGATCGTTTCGTGATGTGGAATTCAACGGAAGCATAATATAAAACAGCTAACAGTCCAATAGAATGTCAGTGAGGGGCTGAAACTTGGTAACAAGGTTTCAGTATACAGGGCAAATCGTTATCAAAGCGGATTCCTTCGTTTAAAGGTAGTCCATGGGCTATCCGAAATCCTGCCTACGAAAAGTGGTGTCCGACGGATATCCATTCTCTTCATTCTCGTCGAACTTTGTTATTGATGAAACAACTAGGCGAGCTCTGGAAGGTCTTCAGTCCTGGTGTTCGAATTGGTGCTGGTGAGAAAGTTGTCGATCTGGAGTACGCGAACGATATGTACCTCTTCTTTGAAAACGAAGGTACAGCAAAACATGGTTTCTTTGGAAAGATGATGTGAGGCGCCAACGAACTAATTACGAAGTGGTTAGAAGCCGGATATTTGGTTGCGCAGTAGGCAATTCGATCGCAGAGAACATCCAGCATCATCAGCTAGCGTGTCCCGGTCATGTGCTACGCATGCCGAAACACCATCTACCGAAAGAAATGTTCTCTTTGAGTGGCGCAAACCGCGAGGTGGACATCGTGTGACTTGGTAGAAGGGTGTGAAAAGGGTTTGGGTGTCGTTGCTGCCGTACGCCTTCCAGAATGGGGTCCCCGTGGCCCTCCTGCGCTTGGCTGGAGACATTACAAGAATGGCGGCTGATCAGTTTCAATGGCGTTCGTGTTTTCAGTTTCTCTTCATATTTATTTAGCGCTTGTAGGCTTAGAAACCAAAGAATGCTGACGTAGGATGGGGTCCCCCCTCCTGCGCTTGGCTGGAGACATTACAAGAATGGCGGCTGATCAGTTTCAATGGCGTTCGTGTTTTCAGTTTCTCTTCTCTTCAATTTAGCGCTTGTAGGCTTAGAAACCAAAGAATGCTGACGTAGGTTATCACCAACTTCCCCCCTCACCCACTCTTTCCTCTTCATTTCAATCTAATGTTGGAATGTAATTAGATAGACTTCGTGGTTGTACG